TCACTCCTATCAAACACGCTCACGCACGCCTGCTGGAAGTCCAAGCCCCTCGCACACAAAACCTCCTTTACCCCCTCCCTCCAACCTTTCCTAGGCCGACCCCTACCCTGCCTTCCTTCCACTACAGACTGATACACTCTTGAAGTCATTCTGTTTCGCTCCATTCTCTCTACATGTCCGAACCACCTCAACAACCCTTCCTCAGCCCTCTGGACAACAGTTTTGGTAATCCCGCACCTCCTCCTAACTTCCAAACTACGAATTCTCTGCATTATTATTGTAGTATATTGTGTGGGTGGGGTGGGCTGACATGGCTGGTTACCATACCTCCCAGACCTGACTATCTACAAATTAAACTCGCCTCTCACCCTACATTATGACTACAAATATTTTAAAGTAAGTAATGGGTGCACTGTGTGCATTTTACTTTGTTGTTTATAATGCCTAGTTGTATTGGTAACTTAATATATGTTAGTGTAAACTTGTTACCTGGCATTTATATGCATTTATAAGTGGAAAAAAATAGCGTTCTGCTTTCCGGCAGTAGCCTGGACCCTAACCTGCCGTATAAGTGGGGGCCCTATTGTACTCGAGAGACTTACTCCCCTATGCATGCTATCTGCAAATCCTTAGGTACCTTACCCTCTTCCATACATTTATTAAATAAAAGCACCAACCACTCCAAAACTATATCCCCACCTGCTTTAAACATTTCTTTCTATCCCTTCAATCCCAGCTGCCTCAACCCATTGCATTCTACTCGCTGCATCACAAACTTTGCCCGCATTCACAATCGCCTCTTCCTCCTACAAGATGTCATTCCTCCTTGCCCTATACACGAAATCACAGCTTCCCTATCTTTGTCAACATTTAACAATTCCTTGAAATATTCCCTCCATCTTCCCAATACCTCTAACTCTCCATTATTTTTTTTTTTTTTTTTTTTTTTTTTTAAACACAGGGTTTGACAAGGTTAAGGATCCCTAGCTTTATTGACTGCTATTTACAGGTTAAGGATTCCTAACTTTATTGGCAAGCTAAGAATTGTTACCTACATCAGCTCATTTGAAAGCATTTTTATTTAGTGTCTCCTCTCCTATTTTTAACTATAAAGTCCACTCATTCCCTAGGCTTCCTCAGCTTGTTAATCTCACTCCAAAACTTTTATTTTCAACAAAATTTGTTGATATCTCGCCCACTGTCTCATTTGCTCTTTTTACATTGCTTCACCACTCTTAACCTCTTTTCCTCTCCATATATTACTTCCTCCCTGCATCACTTGTACAGTACTTTATAAAGACCTCTCGTATGCTGACTTTTTCTCTTGCTACTCTCTCTCCATCATCATTCCACCATTTGCTCTTCCTTCTTGCACCCACTTTCCTGTAACCACAAACTTCTGCTGAACACTGTAACATTACATTCTTAAACCCACCCCATGCATCTTCGACCCCATTGCCTATACATACTCACTAGCCCATCTATCCTCCAATAGTTGTGTATATCTTACCCAAACTGCCTCCTCTAGTTTATAAACCTTCACACCTCTTGCTGCTTCTGTTTTCCTTGCATCCTGTCAACCTTTAACTCGCTGTAGCTACAATTAAAAAGTGATATTTTATACACCTACCATCCGACTTAAGACGTGCTCAACATACGACCACTCTACTTACGACCATGTTTTGTGTGCCAAATTTCTGGGAAATAAACAACTGTTTGTCTTGTACATAGTGTTTATCCTGAACCTTACAGTTTAAAATACAGTACTAACAGCATAAAGAGTAAAGTAAAAAATGAAATACCAAAATAAAACAAAAGTCATTACAAAAATGTGATTTTGATATTCGGTAGTAAGGTTTGACTTGTGTCCATTTCGACTTATGACCGGTTGGTCGGAACCAAGCTCAGCCGATAGTCAGATGGTACCTGTATCTGTGACCCCCTCTGTAAACATGTACATCCTGAAGTCTACTCAAGTCTTTTATCTACCAGTACATACGTAGTTCAACAGATTATTGCCATTACGCCCTACATCATGTCTTGTATGTATACTTACTTATCCTCTTTTTCTTAAAATATGTATTGTATATAACCCTGCCTTGGTGGGAATCAGCCAGTGTGATAATAATAAAAATATAACCAAACCCTTTTCTATGCAAAGTTCAATCGAAGGGCCGCACTTTTCATTTACACCTGGCACCCCAAACTTGCCTACCACACCCTCTCTAAATGTTTCTCCTATTTTAGCATTTAGGTCCCCTACCACAATTACTCTCACTTGGTTCAAAAGTTCTTACACTCTCTCTCAACATCTCCCAAAATCTTTCGTCTGCACTCTTCTCTTCTCCAGGTGCATACACGCTTATGACCCAGTTATTGCATCCGACCTTACTAAAGAGTGATGTGATATATGTTGCCCCTTTAAAATGTGTTTCCAGAATTCTGTCCATTGCTCCTTTTAACTGCAAATACATAGATTGCTCTCTCTGGTGTTTATTTTGGCCTATTTTGTTTTAAATTGGAATTTTTTGTTTAAGATTGGTCAAATCACTGACTTTTATCCAGTTTATGGTGTAGTTACTTGAACGGGAGGTTTGTTGTGCTCAGGTGATGGAATGGAAAGCATTCCAGTGAAACGGCTATGAATTTGGTCAAAGTGAGCAATTCGCTCGTCTTAAAATAGGGCTCAAATTGGGTGAAACTTTTAAAATTGTGCCCAAACTTCTAAATCTGCACCTGCATATTTCTAGAAATTTCAAGTTTTACATTTTTGGTGTTGATGTTGCAGTTTTCTAACTGGAGTGCAGGCATACCTCTGGCAAGACAGTGATGAAGTGAATGATGATGAAAGTGTTTCTTCTTTTTCTGGTCGCCCAGTCTTGGAAGGAAATGGCTGATGTGTTAATAAACAAGAAAAATGTATTTCTTCCACACCATGCTTATAAACTGTCCTTAAATTCTCACCACCTCAACACTCCTTTTCACTGAATTATTTATGTTGTAACTCCCTCTTTTTTATTTTTACTCTAATTTCTTTGGATTGTTTTCTTGCCATAAATTGCTCAAACCTGACATTTTCACTGCCTCCAGCCTCTTTGCTTCAGGGTTTAGAGCCATTCCTCTTACCCACTTGTAATGGAGTTATCACCATTATACTTGACTACTGTATAAGCAAAAGCTTTTAAATTGTTTTTGTTGCTAACACCTCTACCTTTTCTCTCTGCCTGTTTTATGGTTTAGCTATAATATATTTAAATATTTGGTGTTATTATTTGTTGTTCCAGGGAAGTAGCTCCAACTCTGTCTTGCTTCTTAATTTTAGAAGTCAGTGTTAATATTAAGAAGGAACCAGGGCTGTTAGAACACAGGTATTGTTTTACATAGTCTTAGGTAAAGACATTCCTATATGTAACTTGGTTTCTGTAGCAACTGGGCTTCAGATTGTTTTTTGCTTGTACTAGGGCAACTAAATCTAATTCAGTTTAATACTGCATACTGTTAAACTTTTATTTTATTGCATTTATGGATTTAGAAAAGGCATATGATAGTGGATAGGGGAGCAATGTGGCAGATGTTGCAAGTATATGGAATAGGTGGTAAGTTACTAAATGCTGTAAAGAGTTTTTATGAGGATAGTGAGGCTCAGGTTAGGGTGTGTAGAAGAGAGGGAGAATACTTCCCGGTAAAAGTAGGTCTTAGACAGGGATGTATAATGTCACCATGGTTGTTTAATATATTTATAGATGGGTTGTAAAAGAAGTAAATGCTAGTGTTTGAGAGAGGGGTGGGATTAAATTATGGGGAATCAAATACAAAATGGGAATTGACAGTTGCTTTTTGCTGATGACACTGTGCTCATGGGAGATTCTAAAGAAAAATTGCAAAGGCTAGTGAATGAGTTTGGGAGTGTGTGAAGGTAGAAACTTGAAAGTGAACATAGAAAAAGAGTAAGGTGATGAGGGTATCAAATGATTTAGATAAAGAGAAATTGGATAACAAATTGGGGAAGAGGAGTATGGAAGAAGTGAATGTTTTCAGATACTTGGGAGTTGACATGTCAGCGGATGGGTTTATGAAGGATGAGGTTAATCATAGAATTGATGAGGGATAAAAGGCGAGTGGTGCATTGAGGTATATGTGGAGACAAAAAAACATTATCTATGGAGGCAAAGAAGGGAATGTATGAAAGTATAGTAGTACCAACACACTTATATGGGTGTGAAGCTTGGGTTGTGAATGCAGTAGCAAGGAGGCAGTTGGAGGCAGTGGAGATGTCCTGGCTAAGGGCAATGTGTGGTGTAAATATTATGCAGAAAATTCGTAGTGCAGAAATTAGGAGAAGGTGTGGAATTAATAAAAGTATTACTCATAGGGCTGAAGAGGGATTATTGAGGTGGTTTGGTTTAGAGAGAATGGATCAAAGTAGAATGACATGGAGAGCGTATAAATCTGTAGGGGAAGGAAGGCGGGGTAGGGGTCGTCCTCTAAAGGTTGGAGGGAGGGGGTAAAGGAGGTTTTGTGGGCGAGGGACTTGGACTTCCAGCAAGCGTGTGTGAGCGTGTTATATAGGAGTGAATGGAGGCAAATGGTATTTGGGACCTGACGATCTGTTGGATTGTGAGCAGGGTAATATTTAGTAAAGGGATTCAGGGAAACCGGTTATTTTGATATAGCCGGACTTGAGTCCTGGAAATGGGAAATACAATGCCTGAACTCTAAAGGAGGGGTTCAGGATATTAGCAGTTTGGAGGGATCTGTTGTGTATCTTTATAGGTATGTACATGCTTCTAAACTGTTGTTCTGAGCACCTCTGCAAAAACAGTGATAATGTGTGAGTGAGGTGAAAGTGTTGAATGATGATGAAAGTATTTTCTTTCTTGGGGATTTTTCTTTTTTGGGTCACCCTGTCTCGGTGGGAGACGGCTGACTTGTTAAAAAAAAAAAAAAAAAAAACCTACTTTTCAAATCTCTTCTGAAGGCACTTTCTTTTTTTTTTTCAGGCATGCCTTTAAGGCACATCCTATTAACAAAAAAGTATTGGAGGCTCCTGCAGGTTATCAAGTAGAGAAGAAAAATCCAACAGTTCCAGAACCATTTGATATCACAGATTCAAAGAAAGTAAGTGTGTAGCTAGTTTTCCATACTTTATATTTGGCTCCTTTTTCATCCAAATGTAGGGGAATTATAACAAACTTGAAAATATTGGTCAGGTGTTGAACTTTCATTACAACATAAATAAAGCATTAGAACTGGGCAAATCTAATGCTGTGTCTAGTCAAATGACAGACTTTAACCACCTATTGATTTTCAGGAGGCCTAGAAGGTTGTATCAGACAGGTCCATGGTTGAACAAAATACAGTGGACCCCTGCCTCATGATGGCATTGCGTTAAGTTAAATCCGCCAGACGATACATTTTAACGCAAAAATTTTGCCTCGCCTCATGCTAAAAGACTCTCCTTATGTGATTTGCCCAGGACGCGTCCGATGTCTGGCCTCGGCGCCAGTGTTTACAAACCACCCAGTGCAGTCGCATCTATGTATACATTCGGTACATTTCACATTATCCCAGTGTTTTTAGTGCTTGTAACTGCAAAATTGGCAGAAAGGTGGGCTAGTGCAAAGATGAGTAGTGGGGGGGTTGAAGAGGGTTGGAATAGTTTTAAAAATGCAGTATTAGAATGTGGGGCAGAAGTTTGTGGTTATAGGAGGGTGGGGGCAGGAGGAAAGAGGAGTGATTGGTGGAATGATGAAGTAAAGGGTGTGATAAAAGAGAAAGAGGTAGCTTATGAGAGGTTTTAACAAAGCAGAAGTGTTATAAGAAGAGCAGAGTATATGGAGAGTAAAAGAAAGGTGAAGAGAGTGGTGAGAGAGTGCAAAAGGAGAGCAGATGAAAGAGTGGGAGAGGCACTGTCAAGAAATTTTAATGAAAATAAGAAAAAATTTTGGAGTGAGTTAAACAAGTTAAGAAAGCCTAGGGAAAGTATGGATTTGTCAGTTAAAAAACAGAGTAGGGGAGTTAGTAGATGGGGAGAGGGAGGTATTAGGTAGATGGCGAGAATATTTTGAGGAACTTTTAAATGTTGAGGAAGAAAGGGAGGCGGTAATTTCATGCACTGGCCAGGGAGGTATACCATCTTTTAGAAGTGAAGAAGAGCAGAATGTAAGTGTGGTGTAGGTACGTGAGGCATTACGTAGAATGAAAGGGGGTAAAGCAGCTGGAACTGATGGGATCATGACAGAAATGTTAAAAGCAGGGGGGGATATAGTGTTGGAGTGGTTGGTACTTTTGTTTAATAAATGTATGAAAGAGGGGAAGGTACCTAGGGATTGGCGGAGAGCATGTATAGTCCCTTTATATAAAGGGAAAGGGGACAAAAGAGATTGTAAAAATTATAGAGGAATAAGTTTACTGAGTATACCAGGAAAAGTATACGGTAGGGTTATAATTGAAAGAATTAGAGGTAAGACAGAATGTAGGATTGCGGATGAGCAGGGAGGCTTCAGAGTGGGTAGGGGATGTGTAGATCAAGTGTTAACATTGAAGCATATATGTGAACAGTATTTAGATAAAGGTAGGGAAGTTTTTATTGCATTTATGGATTTAGAAAAGGCATATGATAGTGGATAGAGGAGCAATGTGGCAGATGTTGCAAGTATATGGAATAGGTGGTAAGTTACTAATTGCTGTAAAGAGCTTTTATGAGGATAGTGAGGCTCAGTTTAGGGTATGTAGAACAGAGGGAGAATACTTCCTTGTAAAAGTAGGTCTTAGACAGGGATGTGTAATGTCACCATGGTTGTTTAATATATTTATAGATGGGGTTGTAAAGGAAGTAAATGCTAGGGTGTTCGGGAGAGGGGTGGGATTAAATTATGGGGAATCAAATTCAAAATGGGAACTGACATACTTTTGCTGATGATACTGTGCTTATGGGAGATTCTAAAGAAAAATTGCAAAGGTTAGTGGATGAGTTTGAGAATGTGTGTAAAGGTAGAAAGTTGAAAGTGAACATAGAAAAGAGTAAGGTGATGAGGGTATCAAATGATTTAGATAAAGAAAAATTGGATATCAAATTGGGCAGGAGGAGTATGGAAGAAGTGAATGTTTTCGGACACTTGGGAGTTGACGTGTCGGCAGATGGATTTATGAAGGATGAGGTTAATCATAGAATTGATGAGGGGGAAAAAAGGCGAGTGGTGCATTGAGGTATATGTGGAGTCAAAAAACGTTATCTATGGAGGCAAAGAAGGGAATGTATGAAAGTATAGTAGTACCAACACCCTTATATGGATGTGAAGCTTGGGTGGTAAATGCAGCAGCGAGGAGATGGTTGGAGGCAGTGGAGATGTCCTGTCAAAGGGCAATGTGTGGTGTGAATATTATTCAGAAAATTCGTAGTGTGGAAACTAGGAAAAGGTGTGGAGTTAATAAAAGCATTAGTCAGAGGGCAGAAGAGGGGTTATTGAGGTGGTTTGGTCATTTAGAGAGAATGGATCAAAGTAGAATGACATGGAGAGCACATAAATCTATAGGGGAAGGAAGATGGGGTAGGGGTCGTCCTCGAAAGGGTTGGAGAGAGGGGGTAAAGGAGGTTTTGTGGGCGAGGGGCTTGGACTTCCAGCAAGCGTGCGTGAGCGTGTTAGATAGGAGTGAATGAAGACGAATGTTGGAGTTTGAGCAGGGTAATATTTAGTGAAGGGATTCAGGGAAACTGGTTATTTTCATATAGTCGGACTTTAATCCTGGAAATGGTAAGTACAATGCCTGCACTTTAAAGGAAGAGTTTGGGATATTGGCAGTTTGGATGGATATGTTGTGTATTTTTATACGCATATGCTTCTAAACTGTTGTATTCTGAGCACGTCTGCAAAAACAGTGATAATGTGTGAGTGTGGTGAAAGTGTTGAATGATGATGAAAGTATTTTCTTTTCTGGGGATTTTCTTTTTTGGGTCACCCTGCCTCGGTGGGAGACTGCCAACTTGTTGAAAAAAAAAAAAATATTTGTATTTAGCTCTGGCCATCTCCCAATGAGGCATTGACTCCCCCCCCCCCCTCCTCAAAAAAAAGGAGGGGGGGAACATTCACCATCATTCACACATTCGCTGTCTTGTCAGAGGCGCGCAGATACGACAGTTTAGATATTCTGAACAGCTCTCACATTCCCAATTCCCTGACCGTCCATAGACTAGTGTAAATAATAAAAGTTTAGTGAACTTTTTGTTCTTAAGTTTAAAGCCTTCAATGGCAAGGAATAACAATTTCTTCATACATATTTTATTTAAGAACTTCTGAATTTAAATTAATTTTAGGGAGAGCAGTTTATTTGCACTGGTTTGCATGAAACTGTATTCTAAATTCTCCTTTATTGCTGTTCTTTTTATTTTCAGGCTCAGAAACCACTTAGTTTCAAGTTTCAAGAAATGTGTGATAAATTAGGAGAGTCCAGTTTGTCACTTGCTTCCCTTCCACATGGTGGCATTCCAAGCAAATGGGACAAAACTTCTACAAAAATACAGCCATTTAGTTTTGACTTGCGTGATAAAACTAAAGAACAGCTGAAGCAAGAAAAGATTCAAAAGGTAAGTGAAGGTTGCTGGTGCTCAAGGTAGTCAAACTGTTGCCCTCACATATTTTTTAACCCATCAAAATATTAGTTGACATCCTTGTTTTGAAAGCTTTAGTGTTATGTTAATGAGTGAAAATTTATATTCAGTCACTAGTGGCGTGGCAGGTTCCAAAATTAAGTAATTCCTTGCATTTTTTCCTAGTTTGTTTTGAGATCTAAGAAATTTAAAAAATGTGCATCTGTGTTAAAAGTTTGTTGTAAAATTTGAATTGGTTCCAAATGATAAATGGGAGTCTTTACCGAGTTATTGTACTTCATTATTTGATGATACAATCATTAAATAATGACGAAGTGAACCATATTATTGATGAGGGTAAAAGATGAGTGGTGCATTGAGGTATCTGTGTAAACAAAGAATGTTGTCCATGGAGGCATAAAGGGGAATATGTTGGAGTATAGTGGTACCAATTCTCTATGGGTGTGAAGCATGGGTAATGAATGTTGCAGCGAGGAGATAGTGGAGATGTCATGTCTGGGCAGTGTGTGGTGTGAATTCTATGCAGAGAATCTATAGCTTGGAGATTAGGAGGAGATGCAGAGTTACTGAAAGCATTATCTTGAGTGCTGGAAAGGTTTTATTGAGGTGGTTTGGACATTTAGAGAGGATGGAGAAAAATAGGATGGTTTGGAGGATGTAAAAGTCTATAGTGGAGGGAAGGTGGGGTATGGAGTTGCCCTAGGGAAGATTGGAGGGAGGTGGTTTTGTACATCCAGCATGTGCTAAGTCTGGCTTAAGTCTTAACATACAATAATAACTATACAGTGACATGTTACAGAACACTCCACATTCTTTTTAAATATCTTGTACAATAAATGGACCAATATACTTGCTAATCAGAAACTGATAATCCCATAATGGTGAAAGCAAACATAAAAAAAATAGGTAAGAGCCAACTTAAATTAAGTGTTACTCTAAATATTTAAAACATCAAGTTTATTGCCAATTTAACCCTTAAATGGTCCAAACGTATATATGTTTTTTTTTTTTTTTTTTAACATCTGAAAGTATGTAAAAAAAATGTAGATTTTTTTTTTTTTTTTTTTTTTTTTTTTTTTACATGTGAAAACGCTGTATAGCCCTTGTGGCTTAGCGCTTCTTTTTGATTATAATAATAATACATGTGAAAACTTGTAAAAAAAAAAACTTATCTTTTTTTTTTTTTTTTTTTAAATATGTAAAAAAAAAAGTAGATTACTTTTGTAGCACTACGAATTTGAACGTTGATCTGTTTCGACCGTTTAAGGGTTAACAAATATTGGGAAATCATTTATCACTTAAGCGAGTTCTCGGAAAAAATTTCTTGCCATGTCTTGAAATTAGTTTCTAAGCAGTTTAATCCTTGAGGGTCTGTCCCATAGTTCTATGGCTTTGAAGTCTGGGTCCAAGCTGTAGTTCTGCACCATGAGCTTGGCTAGCTCAGATAAGCTGTGAGTGGTAAATTTTGGCCTAGATATGAGAGAATACATCTGTGTAGTAAGTGTGCACCACATAAAACAAATCCTGTGGCATGCAGTGCATAATGAGAAAAAATTGAGTTTTTTTGAATTAAAGCAGTGACTGCTGTGTTTTTTCGTATGTTTTTTGCAGTTGTATTCAGTTTCTTGGTCTTGTTTGTTAGAATGGAAGATATACAGTAGACCCTCGGGTAACAACATTAATCTATTCCAGAGAGCTTGTCTCTAATCGATTTTTTAGTATCCGAATTAATTTTCCCATAGGAGATAATGGAAATCCAATTAATCCGTTTGAGACGCCCAAAAGTATTAACAAAAATATTTTTTTTAAAGATTAAATATACGTATACATACAGAAAACAAATAAATATAAAGCTCTTATAAAATGGATAAATTAACATTTAACGTCACACTTACCTTTATTGACTCTTGTTGGTGTATAGAAGACGGACAAGAGGCGAGAAGGAGAGTTTATTATGCTTCAGTATGACGCTAATATCATCTCTGCGGCTTATTTATCTATCACAATTCATCTAACATGACATAAACAATATTAACCCTTTGACTGTCACGGTAGTATATATACGTCTTACGAGGTACCATGTTTGACGTATATATACTCATAAATTCTAGCGGCTTCAAATCAAGCAGGAGAAAGCTGGTCGGCCCACATGTGAGAGAATGGGTCTGTGTGGTCAGTGTGCACCATATAAAAAAAAATCCTGGAGCACGCAGTGCATAATGAGAAAAAAAAAACTCCCACCGTTTGTTTTTTTTTTTAACTAAAATGCCGACTTTGTGGTCTATTTTCATTTAGTATTTATGGTTGTATTCTTGTTTTCTTGGTCTCATTTGATAGAATGGAAAATATATTATAGAAATAGAGGTGATTTTGATTGATTTTTGCTATAAAAAGAACCTAGAAATGGAGCTCAAAGTAGGGGAAATGTTTGATTTTTACCAATGTTCAAAAGTAAACAAATGATGTCATTGTCCAATAAATGTCCAACTAGCCATTCTATTATGCAGTCATGAATGGGTTGATGTTATTTATACAATTATTACAGCATTGCAGTAGTCTGCATAATAGTAAGTCTTCTATTTTTAGTTTGAATAAAAATTTAAAATAGAAAGCAAGAGTAATATCAGAGGGGCCTGGAGACATGACTGATGAACAAAGAAAATGTTATTTTAGAGCCAGGAATGTCTGCATTGTTCATTCTGGACCTTATTTTGAAATTGTCATATTTTTTAGTTTTCGTGAAATTGGCCAAATTGCAAATTTCTGACCACATTATTAGGTAGTTGAAGTCGATAAATGGGCAGTTTCTTGTACTCTATCGATAGAAAAAATGGAGTTCTAAAGAAATAGCTATGAGTTTGGGCGACTGGAACAATGGAATTAGCCGAAAATAGGGCTCAAAGTGGGCGAAATCGCCGATTTGTAAACAGCACCGAGGTCGCTAACTTCGCGAGAGCATAATTCCGTCAGTTTTCCATCAAATTTCGTTTTTTTTTGGTGTTATTACAATCGGGAAAAGATTCTCTATCATTTCATAAGAAAAAATAATTTTTTTTTTTTTTAAATTTTGCGACACCAGGAGACACCTCAGGATTGGGGGTTGCGACAGTCAAAGGGTTAACCCTGTCAGGGTCCCCAGGCCCTCTCCGAGACTTGTTCTCAGGGTCCCCAAATTTAAAAAAAAAAAAAAATTCTTATGAAAAGATAGAGAATCTTCTCCCAATCATAATGACACCAAAAGTTTGAAATTTGATGGAAAACTTATGGGATTATGCTCTCGCAAAGTTAGCGGTCTCGACACTGTTTGCGCATCGACGATTTTGCCCACTTTGAGCCCTATTTTCGGCCAATTCCAGTGTACTAGTCGACAGAAATCATAACTATTTCGCTAGAACTCCATTTTTTCTATCTAATGAGTACAGGAAACCACCCATTTACCGATTTCAACTATGCAATTTTGCCACTCTCACAAATTTCAAAAGATGCCAATTTCCGAATAGGGTCCAGAATAAACAGACATTTCTGGCACTAAAATAACAAGTTCTCTGTGCGTTAGTCACATCCCCAGGCCCCTCTTATATTTCTTTGGCTTTCCACTTTGAATTTTTATTCTTACAAAAAACAGATGATTTACTGTTATGCAGACTACTGCATTAGTGTAGAAATGGTATAAATAATATCAGCGCACTTGTGAAAGAATATTAGACTTGCCAGGTGACGTGTATTGGACGCTTGGCATGATTTGTTTGCTTTTGAACTGTGGTAAAAATCGAACATTTCTGCTACTTAGAGCTCAATTTCAAGCTACTTATCATTGTAAAACCAGTCAAAATCATCCCAATTTCTGTAATGTCTTTCATTCAATAAAATGAGACCAGGAAAACTGAAATACAACAATAAATACCATACGAAAATACAGTGCAGATTCGCTGTTTTAATCCAAAAACAGTCAGTGTTTTTTTCTCGTTACGCACTGTGTGCTGCAGGATTTTTTTGTACTGCGCACACCGACCACGTAGACCCATTCTTTCATATGTAGGCCTACCAGCTTTCTCTCACTAGATTTGAGGGCACTAGAATTTAGGCGTACTAGTATGTCGAAAACCCTGGGGCGTAAACCATACTAGTATGGCCGAAACCCTGAAAGGGTTAATATAGAAACATGATGTATACTGTAGAATGAATAAAATGTCATAATGTATCAGAGGAGGAAGTGGTGTTGGTTTTATAAGGGCCACTGAGAGAAGCCATACATATTAATGGTGGTTGAGGCAGCAGCAGAAGTCAGCAACACTATTCACACTTAAACAATGTAGTATGTAATTTATAAATAAGAAATATTTACATTTTATTTTATAAATAAGTAAGTGTATTCACGTATACACAAATAGTTACATACATAGATTATCATACGTAGCAGCATATGTGTAAGGTACCTAGGATAACCCAAAAAAGTCAGTGGCTTATTTCCATTTGGGTCCTTTTATATGATTAGTTTAATTAGTTTGATGGAGATGCTGGCAGAGGTTTAGGGTGGTGGAAGATAGCAGGGTGGCATATGTTCATTGGTCTTATTCACATCCAACAACACTGGAGAGTTACTTTCATGGTTGTTTTTCTATTACTTAATCGCTCAACTTGCTGCACTGTTAATTCTACACTTTATCACTGGCTTGCACTACAGCCTTTATTGAAACCTGCTGCTTTAGTATTGTACATATTGCAGAATCACTGAATCACTGCAGAAGGCACATTCTCCCCTCTCTTCCTCCTCCACTTTGGTACTTTGCTGAGAGTTTTTTCTTGAATTCTATTGCGTTTCTTTCCTTCTATACCACAGGGCTGGCAAAAGAAGCTTTCTTTGGGCTCATGGTGGCTTACTTAGCAGTTACAAACACTAAAAACAGTGGAATAATAAGAAATATATCGCATGTACGTGTGGAATCGTCCTCCCTGGCTTGTAAATAATGGCATAC